TTTGAATAATTTTTTTTTGATTTAAGAATGTAAATTGTGTTTTAAAATATAAAAGAAAGGGAAAAATACCATCTTGTAGGCCCATTGTTCATTTAAATAGAAAAAAAAATACTTATCTGAAATTTTAATTCTAATTTGAATAGGGAAAATTGTTTTTTTTTTCAATTTGGTCGGGCTTTGGGCTCGGGCTCAGGCCTAAGTTATAGGCCCGTTGGTCGGGCCGGGCTCGGGCCTAGTATATTTTCATTAGTGACAAGTGAAAGCCCGACCCGAACCCAGCCCGACCCGGCCCATGAACAGGTCTAGTGGCAATGAGGGCATGAGGTAGAGGATATTTAGTGGMGTAGAACTTGGGTTTAAAGATCCCAGATTGGGATCTGGTACGCATAGGATGGGTGCATTGAGGCATAATAGGTGGATGAAGGGAGGGTGCTGTGATGGATTGGTTAGGTTCGACTGTAGAAATGGGTAAAGAAGTGGGGGCAGCAACGATTGGGCCTAGAGGTGGATTTGGTACAGTGGAAGGGGAAGTGGGTGATGGTGTAGTGGAACTTGGATGCGTCAGATCCTCATGTGTAGCATTAGAGAGTGGACGTGGGGAGGTCCAAACAATGTCAGGAAGGTGAGAGTTGGGTCGCCACACAGGGAGTCATTAAGGGAAGAAGATGACGCAAGTTCAGTTGTGAGAGAGGAAGAAAAAGGGAAAGAATACTCGTAAAAGGTGACATGACGAGATATGTATACAATTTGTGAATGAAGATCCATACAGCCATACCCTTTGTGGTGGGGACTGTAACCGATAAAGACGCATTTGGTGGAGCGAAAATCAAGCTTATTACGAGAATAGGGACTGTAACTGATAAAGACGCATTTTAATTTTCGCATCAAATAAATTTTCAACTTTTGCTTTGAATGAAACAAAAGTATCAAAGAAATCAGACTTATATTGCATGGGAAAAATGTAAGGAATATCGGGTATGATTATCCACAAATAATACATAATAACGATAATTTGAAATTGATAAAATAGAGGAAGGACCCCAAACATTACAATGAATTAAAAATAAAGGTGTGAAGACAAAATTGGCAAGATGAACACAAATTATTAATGTTGGGGGACTTAACAGACAAAATGGAGGCTTGGATGTCTCGAGATGGGTGACCCAGGCGGTGGTGCCAGAGATCCTGTGACTGGCGATTGCTAACATGGGCAACAGGTTGACTAGTTGATGAAGACTGAGATTTGAAAGTCTTGAATGGGTAGAGTCCACTCTCAGTTGCTCTGCGATGAAGGGTCGCACCCGATGCTTTGTCCTTCGCAATAAAGCCAGATTCGTCAAAGATGAAGTAGCAATTGTTATCTTTAGAAAATTGGTAAGCAGATAAAGATTGGTGAAGCATTTGGGCAATGTAAAATATTTTTAAAGTGAAAGGAGGTGTGTGGTAAGTGTATTGTGGAGGAGCCAACATGCTTAATACCTAGCCCGTGACCTTTACCAGCTTGGACCTCGTCTGATCCTGAGTACTCAGGGGAAGAATGAGAAATATTACCGAGGTCAGGTGTAATGTGATGAGAAGCTCCAGTGTCAGAATACCAAGTAGTATCATCGAGGGCATCCCGTGCAGCAGCAGCCATAGCCATGAGTTTCTCAGGTGGTTGACGACCCTGAAAGGAGAGGTTGAGTCTTTGGAAGCAGTCAAGGGCAATATGACCTGTCTTATTGCATATTTGGCAGATAGGTCGGTTGCTGGGCATAGATGGACGGCTGTCAAAAGTGTGAACACGCCCAGAATTGTTTGGAAGAGGAAACTGAGATTTAGGTGAATTGTTGTTGTTTCGTCCTAAGTGTGGACGTTTGGTGGTATCAAAATCTTGTTGCTGCTGATGTGAACGCCCATTGTTAGGGCCTTTCCCGTATTGAGGTGAGCGGGCAGTTTTGTTTGCATTGAACGCAGATGTCGGTTCAGATGCAATGTCTTCTGCAAGAGACAACTCTTCACCAGTTAACAGGTCATGTAACTCTTCCAAAGTGACAGATTCAGTGCGAGATCTGCCACGTATGGTTGCAGCAAATGGGCGATAGGATTGAGGTAATCCATCCAATATGTAAATCTGCAATTCATCCTTCTGACACAGGGGATCCACAGGCTGCCAATTGATCACAGATTGCTTTGAATTTTTGCAAATACTCATTCATAGAAAGAGAACCTTTTTTGAGACGACGCAACGGTCGTCCAAGTGTAGAAACATGCTGTGAAATCCAAGTATGAAGAAAATTTCAGAAGATAGAGAAAATATTTCTCTGTATTACTTCAACTAAACTGTGCAAAGTGCATGATTACTATTTATACAAGAAATGAACCTATACAAAGTTGCCACGTAATGATTCCAGCTAACCTATTAACAAACTAACTAACTTGTATAACAGACTAACAGCTAACTAATAGCAGTAACAAACTTGATAACTGCTCAAGAATAAATAATATATATTCTGCACATCCCCCCCTCGAGTTGGAGCTTGAGTTTGATGTAAATCAAACTCAATTTGGTAGAAATGTGCTTAGGAAAAACAAAACCAGCCTTATACTTATCACGAACAAGATGACAATCAATCTTTAGGTGCTTTGTACATACCTRGAAGACTGGGTTGGCAGTAATATGTAAAGCTGCCATGTTATCGCACCAAAGACGGATTGCAAAGGAGGGCTGACTTGAAAATCCTGCAAAATATAACTAATCCACYGGAGCTCACAAACAATAGAAGCAAGGCTTCTATATTCTGCCTCAACTGAAGACCTGCTGACGGTGGATTGTTTCTTAGTCTTCCAAGAAATGAGAGAATACCCCAAATATATGCAGTAACCAGTGAGTGACTTGCGGGACTCCTTACATGCAGCCCAGTCTGCATCACAAAAGGCTTCAAGGGACAGATTATTATTAGATGAGAAAAACAAACCTCTGGAAGGTGTACCCTTGAGATACTTCAGAACATGAAGTGCTGCTTGCCAGTGATCTTGAGTAGGAGAGTGCACATATTGACTAAGGTGTTGGACAGCATAAGATATGTCTGGCCTTGTGAGATTGAGATACAACAACCTACCAACTAACCTGCGATATTTCTCTGGTTCATCCAAGTAACTACCAGTAGAAGAAAATTTTTGCCCCTTTGGCAATGGTGTAACAACAAGTTTAGCTCCAAGAAGGTCTGCATCTTGCAAAATATCTAACACATATTTTCTTTGATTGACATAAGTTCCATCAGAACCCCTTGCAATTTCAAGGCCTAAAAAATATTTAGCATACCCCATGTCTTTAATAGTAAACGTGTCATGAAGAAACTGTTTGACCTTCTTAATCTCAGACTCATGAGTCTCAGTAACAAGAACATCATCTACATACACTAATAAGGCTAAAAATGAAGTAGGAGAAAATGATCATGTGCACTTTCGACAAACCCATAAGCTTGAAGTTTAGCACAAAACTCAACATTCCATTGGCGAGAATCCTGCTTTAAACCATACAAAGGCCTTTTTAACAAGCAAACTTCATTTGGCTTAGCTTTAGTATAGCCTGGAGGTGGTAGCATAAAAGCTTTAGTATAGGTGTCGCTGAGGCATACCGATGTTCAATAATATCCCATGCCTGCTTGGAAGACTTCACACCAACCATATAGGGTAGGGCTGAAAGAGATAAGGTTGCTTGAATCCAAGATAATATCATCTAGTCTCGTTCATACCATGATGCAAACTCTGTGTTGTTTTTATCAGGTACGGGAAGAGATCCATCTACAATAGACATAAGACGATGAGCACGTAAAATTGGTTCAAAGAGAGATTTCCATAAGATGTAATTCATACCGTCAAGCTTGATTGGTATAASACTAGCGATGATGATGCGCAATCCGGCCACTCCTARCTATAGGTGACTGGGCTCCTAGCTGGCGACGGGCGAGAGATACCTACGTGAAGAGAGATGAAGGAACCCAGGGTTGCTTATCCGACGGGAGCACTCCGATGCTTAAGTTAGTACTCAGTTGCGAGCTAGAAGAGAATGAGTTTGCAAGAAGATAAGAAAGCTAGAGAGTGGTGAATATGCGATGCCTTGGCCCCTGGGGGGTTGAAGTGTTTATATATTGACATCCTGACAGGTTTGGTGGGCTTGATCCCGAATCTCTACCACGGCGATATGTTGTCAGGTAACGTTTCGGAGTGACTGGCTATCATCGTCAGGACTGGGGAGCAGGTGGGCTAATGCAACTGTTGTAGGGTACGGTTCCGTTAGGCAGGAGACAACCTCCGGGGTTGGCAGGCACGACGCCGCCAGGCGAGAGACATGAGTGCAATCCTTAGAGTTGGCAGATATTGCACCGCCAGACAAGGGACGTGGGTGCAGTYTTCAGAGTTGGTAGGTACGGTTCTGTCAGGCAGGAAGCTTCTTGCGCGACGCCGGGCTACTTGACAACGAGCGACCCTGTAGCGAGCTACTTGGTGGCGAGCTATCCGTGACGAGCTGCTGGTGGCGTGCCGAGGTGATTCTGCCCGAGGCAAGTCGTCTTTGAGGTGGCCCACTTACTTGGGTTCGGACTGCTGAGAACTTGGTGTTGTTGTTTTAGTTCGTGAATTGGGATGGACTCAACCCGAAGTACCTTCAGCTCRAGACATTAGTGTATTCGAGCTCGTTCTGTAGCGAGCTGATACTTGCTGAGTTCTCCCATGCGTTGAGCCATGTCCACGTGCCGATCTACTCATATCGAATTGTCATTTATATCGAATCACGTACACGTATCACCCAATTATGAGGTCAGGCCAAATCACCCCTTATCCAGTGATATTGGCAATAACCAATGATGGTGAGCTTGTTGTGGTTGACGAAAGAGCTGATGTGGCACTTAAGTTTTCAGAGTGTTCAGGATGCAACGAAACCATAGATTTAGCAAGGAGAATGGACTGTGGTGCTGTTGAGCAAAGGCTGTAAATAGGAGGTTTGAAGAATTACAACTAAAACCCGATGGATTTGGGCAGCTGTTGTAGTATCTATTTATATGAAAGTTGGTACAAGAAGATTAAGATAGATTTTAGAGAGACAAGCCTCAATGGCTTGCCGTGATAAACTACAAGACTACAAGCTGAGATGGTTGCAACTGTATACAAGAGTCATGATRTATTCGGAGAGCGAAGGTGAGTGGCGTGGATGGAGGTTCCGTTATCAAAGCTAAAGTAAGTTTGTTTCAAAAAATAATACATGTTTCTAAAGCCATCAAAATGATAGTTTTTAAAACAAAAACAAAATGTGAGGATATTTATGGAACATGATATTAAATAACCACGTGAAAACATGTTCTTTTAAAAGTTTAAACTAAAAATTCAACAGCATGTTTCCTGTTTTAGTTTTGAATATAATCAAGAACATATTTTTTGTCATTTTTTGGTTTAAGAATCAATTCAAACCAGTTGGTGTTGTTTTGTTTTTAAGACTTGAAACAAGAAAAACAATTCTTATCGGAGAACACCCCCTAAATAGCATGGCTAACAAATCTTCTTCCTAATTTTACATGTTTAATGTGGTGGGTGGAGCGTTTTGACTATTCAAAAATCTGATTTTGAATATGAGATTTGACATAATCAAATCGAATTTGAATAATCTAATTTGATTCTATAAATATTCAAATTCAATCAAATATTTAATTCTTATATATAATATATAAAATATTTAAGGATAAAATATAAAAACCTCTATAGTTTAACTTTAGTAAAATCAAATTGAAATTTCCCCTATAATTTAACTATAGTAAAATCAAATTAAAATCAAATTGAGATTTGACATAATCAAATTGAAATTTCCCCTATAGTTTAACTTTAGTAAAATCTTCCCTTCTATTTTCAAATAAATGACAAACTCCCTTCCGTTAATGAACTAGACAGAAAACATTGAAAATTACAATTTTATCCTTATACAAACCATGCACTTATTTGCAAAATACAATTTTTACCTTTACTCGAGCAAGCAGACATAGTGCTCAGAATATTCCACTTCCCGGAATATTCTAGTGACGATTCTTCACCGGACGACGGAATATTGCAGCGGTTGTATTTGGAGTATTCATCACCGGACGATTCTTAACCGGACATAGTTCATCTTGCAGCGGTTGTGTTCGGAATATTCATCACCGGACGGCATCTTTGACTTTCCAAATTTTTCGGCGCCTACTTTTCACCAGACGACGGAATATTGCAGTGGTTGTGTTCGTTTTCATCTTGCAGCGGTTGTGCTCGGAATATTCTTCACCGGACGATTCTTCACCAGACATAGTTTGTTTTCATCTTGCAGCGGTTGTGTTCGTAATATTCATCACCGGACGGCATCTGTAACTTTCCAAATTTTTCGGCGAATATTCTTCATCGGACGACGGAATATTGAAGCGGTTGTGTTCGTTTACATCTTGCAGCGGTTGCGTTCGAAATATTCTTCACCGGACGTTTTTGGAGAAACTCTACTCTAGCCTTGCCTCTTCCGAAGTTCTACTCTAGCTGTAACCAAGTGGCAGAATAAGAATTGAATGATTTCTTGCTTTGTCTTTTTAGTGCATAAAGTATTTCAGAACCAGAAGTGCTGCCTGAGAAATTAAGGTCCAAAACTAATATTGAAGACGAACCCCAATAAGGTGATCGGTTACCATCTCTATCTACTGGTAAATCCCTAGCGAAATAAAATGAAGAGGGATATAGGGAAAACCATCTGGTCGAAATCTTTCTTTCTGGTTTCGTCATTCCTCTGTTCGTTCCTCTCCAATGGGACCGAAATCCTTTTGAGGGCAAAGGGTATTTTAGTAAACATAGGTACACAATAACTTGTATAAGGGTAAAATAGGTATTTTAAAAAAATTATCACCGGTTTAATGTTTTTCGTCTGATTTATTAACGGAAGGGAGGTTTTTGTGGATTTATTTGAAAATAAAATAAAGGATTTTGCTAAAGTTAAATTAGAGGGGAGGTTTTTATTATTGTCAGAAACTTCAAGGAAAGTTTTTGTATTTTACCCTATATTTAAATATTTTATATAATTTATAGTTATAATAATTAAATTATAAAAATAATTTATATACTTTATATAAATAAAWTGCTTATTAATTACATACAATAATTGATTTATCAAATTCGAATTGAATCAAATATTCAAATATTGATTTTCAATATTCGTCAAATAGATATTGCTTGATTCAATTCGAATTTGATTTTAAGTCCCTAGTTTTGAATACATTTCCTTATTTTGGGTAAATTATAGTTAGCCCTAAGAACTTTGTTTTATGAAAAAGACGCCCTCCCCCCAGCCCACACACTCAAAAATAAAAAAWAAAAAATAAAAAATCTAAAACACAGATTTTTCTCAAGACTCAAGACATTGATGAATTGATCATTCTCAAAGCCTATTGGGCTTGAATCATATACAAGCACAAACCCATACATATCCTTCGCTGAAATTTAGTTAAGCAGTGAGTATCCAATATTAAACTACTTGACCGAGTGGCTTTGATCCCACCTCAAAAAACCATTCATCCTAAAAACCTAAGCGCTTATAACCTGATTAATCCCAATGACGACCAAAATCAACTTCAACGATTATTACACGGTTTTAGCATAGTGGATGTACGTTTGAAAGAGTTATAGTTTGATCCTATTAAACTCTAATTCTGCAAACGCTGTACATGGTACCCCATTTAATGGGAGTCAAGATCCTTATGGCATGTACTTGAGTGGGATTTGACGCTTGCACCAATTACCATATTAAAAGAGTGCTAATTAGAGATGGTACGTTTTCACTGCCCATGTGACCAACACATAAAAGCAAAAGGTCATGAACATTTCTACTCTGCTTACTTGTATTTAACTTGGTGACTGCCTTAGCTACTCCATATCAGGCATTGAATTTTCCTTAGACATCTTAATTTTCTTCATTGTTAGAATGAAAAATAGGACAGTTTAAAACTCAGAAAGCACAGGTTCCTTGTGATCGTAGTCCAGATATTGTAGAGTTAATGAAGCAGGGATGGCAATTTGGCGCCAAACAAGATCACTCAAATCCCTTGAACAGCTGCAATTGGCAGGGGTCCCCCCCAGGCCCCATCTACTGTAACATGTAATGCTTGCAGGCTCCATTAATGGGTCTAAGCATATCAACTGTACCTTAGACCACCCATTTTGGTTGGTGGAGTCACCAAACCTTAGCTCCTCTAATTAAAAACACTTAACCCAACCTTTGGCTTAGTTTAGAAAGAAGAAGACAATTACACAAATATGTAAAGGTTACAAGTATATTATATCATATATAAGGTTTTGCACGGTACACATTTGTGCTTTACTCTTCTCAATCTGACCCTAAAATGTCATTTCCTTTTGTCACCTTATAAATAACTTACTGTGGTTGGCCTTTTGTCTGATTGTGTTTGAGTCAGAAAGATGAACCCAGTTGGTTTATTAATCTGGACCCAAAAAGACAACCGAGACCTTCTAGATGCCACAAGGGATGATGAGCAGGTAATAAGAAATGTTGATCTGGTAAGTTTTGTGGTGGATGGGAGACGGGAGACTGGAGAACCCTAAAGCTCAATCTCACTTCATCGATTAATCACGTAGGGTGTCAGTCATGGATCTCAACAACAGAAGTAGCAGAAATAAGGGCTGGGTTTTGTGAATCATCTCAAGAACTGCCACCCCTGATAAAAAGATCATGATCAATGGTGAAAAATGTTCCTTTTTTGGTTATTAAGGCTAAGTTTGTATTTGTTCTCCTTCCAAACTGAGCTTAATGCTGTATTTGATTGCAGTGTAATTTTATTTGCACTAGTACAAATGTATGTGAGTGCAAATGATAAAAAAAATGCATATTCTCATTTCATTTTATTTGGGGGTTTTACTTTATTCTGTTTCATGTCTTAATTTATTTTATTTGTATTACAATCAAACAAAATAAGTTAAAATTTAAAATAAAAATAGGTCAAAATTTGCACTCAAATTATTTGCACTGTCATAATTTTGCATCAATGCAAATTTATTTACATTGCAACCAAACACAACCTAAGGCTCAGTGTGAAAAAGAGTACAAACCAAAAATCTCTAGAAAATAATACAAAATGCAAAGTTTTACACTATATATTTATATTTGTACTGCTTCCAAACTGAGCCAAACCCTTCACCACTTAAATTGTTGAATAAGGCACTCTACGCTAAAATTTTCCCCCACTAAAAACTGTAATTGTGATCCCTCCAACAGTGATCCTTTCTGGATCCCCAGTTATTATAAGTAAAAGAAAAGGGAAATTGATTTTCTAATCAAGAAAGGAATAAAGTGAAAAAAGAGGTTTATTTTTTTTTCGTGATCGAAGGAGAAAAGAAAGAGAAGAAAGAAAATTCAAAAGAACCTAGAAAAACGTACCCCACAAACCGCAATCATGGAAACCACTAATGCCCATTACCTAGACAACAGAGTCCTCCAATAACAAATTGATGCAAGAAAAGGGATGGCATTATTATGGTGGAATATGCAAGTTGACTGTTTTCCTTTCAAATTAAGCTTAATTCCATTATTCCAGCCTTCCATTTCATTGAGTAGATCCAAAAGTCTTCGCACTAAATTGCCAATGCGTTGCATACAACAAACTCAGTTCCTGGCAAGCTAAGGATTATCAATTTCTAACATCAATGATATCGACCAAAAGAAAGAAAGAAAAAAAAAAAAAAAAAGGCTAAGGGAATTATGTGGAGGCTGTTGGCTTTAAGGCCTACAGTATGAATTGCATGGCCACCTAGAAGGATAAATATACCGCAAGGTCCGCAAAAATGCGTATTGCACTTATTTTCCTCTCTCTCTCTCTCCATTTAAACATGTCAGGTGGGAGGGAGTGGTGTAACCTGTAAGTGATCAAAACCAAACCATGTGTTCAGTGTTGTGTGCCGTGGAGTCGTAGAGAAGAACTCTCTCAACCCCGTACTGCATCAGCCATGTGTTCGACTTGTTGTGTGAAAGAGGGGGAAAGGAAACTATGAGCTATCTATCAAACTCTACACAAAATAGAACCTTCTCCTACTCAAAACAGCCTCAGCCTCTAAAGGGCCATTGATGCTCATAATAACATTAGAACTTATAACCCATCCATCAAATTAGATGGATCCGAAGCATTCCAAATTTAACTAAAAACCCCTCCCCCTCCAATCATATCTGAACCACGGGGGCCATGTGCATGCTATGGAACCCACCGTTGAACGGGTCCCACCAAGACAATCCATGGCAATACCAATCCCTTCTATCAATTATACCCCACCCATGAGCACAATCCAACAGAAAAAAAATAAACCCACAAATAGAAAAAGAAAAAATTTGTTTTTGGATCCATAATTCATCCACTCAACCAGYTTTCCCACCTCAACTCAACAAAGAATCACAGATTACAGATCAGACCCTTTATGTTGTGCTGCAGCTCTGACTTCGGCTACAAGTTTTCGTTTGCATAACAAGCAAGTCCAAAGTCACATTAATGTGCATATCCATTAATAAATGAACAACAGTATTCTGTTCTGTTTTTCAGTAGTGTACAAGGATAACTTAAAGCGAGCTTTGTAGAAAATTCACCACACAATGACACAATCCAAGGTCCCCCACCCCCTCTTTGCCATTCAAATCAAAACTGTAGAGTACAGAGACGGTGTTCATGGCAAGGAAAAATGRAGCCCATTGAAAAGAGATCTACAGTCCTCCATAAGTGAAATAAAACACTAATAAAAATCAATAAATTACACTTGTTTGAATGAGAGATTGGTGAACGTATTCGCTTTAGCAATCCATATTTGAATTAGTTTACATTTTGAGTAAAATAAAATCAAGAAAAATACAAATGGTTAAAGAGAGGGAAAAAAAAGGCTCCAAAGATCAGTGAAATCCCAACAATAAAAAGTCAAAAACCCAGAAAAAGAAGAACTCACATCCTCWGTCTTTCTAGTTACCAAACTCAACCGACAATGGGTTCATTCAATCATACCTGAAATTTCTCTTATGCATCTTTCAACTAATGYATTTCAATAATCAGGCATTAGCTGACTGATCTTCCCCTCTTCACCGGCCATCCCCTGCTCTGTAACCCTCAACCAAATACAGACAGCAGTAAAACTAAGCACCAAGCTCAAGAACCCACTCCCCAAACCGATTCCGACGATCGCCATCACGGACAACCCTTTTGTCTTCAACGGCGGCAATGGGTAGCCATAAACGTCCTTGTTTCCTTCAAATGAACTGGCATTGAACTTGGGGAGATTCCCAGTTCGGTTCCCCAGCGAAGGAGGGATAGGCCCCGAAAGCCGATTATTAGAAACATCAAAAGCCGATAACCTTACCAACGAACCCAATTGCTGGGGAATCGGTCCGGTGAGCTGATTGTCATGGAGATCTATAACGTTGAGGTAGGCGCACATAGCGAGCTGAGGGGGTATTTCGCCGGAGAGGCGGTTGGAGGAGAGATTGAGGACGGCGAGGTTGAGGAGCAATTGGAGATCGGGAGGGATGGGTCCGGTGAGGAAGTTGGAGGAGAGGTCGAGAGCCTGAAGGTTGGTGCAGTTGGAGAGGAAGGGGGAGATGGAGCCCCTGAGAGAGAGGTTGGTGAGGGAGAGCTTGTAGATGCGACCGTTGTTACAGGTTGCGCCTTGAAGGTATGAGTTGAAGCCGCTACAAGGGTTAGCGAAGGTGGCTTTGGTCCAGTTCTTAAGGCTGTTTGTTGGGTCTACGAGGGATTGTTTTAGGTTTGTGAGGCAGGCTTCGTCGTATGGATCTGATGAACATGGTGGGAGGTAGGCGCAGGTTAGCAAGAACAGAAAGAAGGGAACATAGAACCCCATTTGAGAATTGAGATTGAGAGAGAATCAACGAGGGGATGTCGGTTTTTCCTTCCTTTTTGCACTTGGTGTAGATTTTTCTTTCTTTCTTTCTATTTTTTACTCGGAAGTCGGAAGAAAGAAAAAAACTTGTTCCACTTCTTTCTTCTCTTCTACTTTGATTTCTTCCTTCCCCCAGTCTGCTATCAAAATTTCTGGGGATTGGCGTACGTTAGCAGTGGCAGGGGAAGGGCAAGAGTGATGAGTGCCAGAACTCTGAAACTTTTCATATATATTTCGTATTGGGTTTTAGTTTTAGTAAGGGGAGTGACGAGAGAGAGAGAGAGTGGAGGTCAATACCCAGTAGCTTGGGCCTGCGGAGCATGGTAATTGAATATGCTGAAGCCTTAATCTGCGCATATGTGGCGTAGGATAGTGACAGCAGTGTCTAAAAGAAGGAAGTGCATTTATTTTATTTTACTTGTTTATTTCAATTTTCAAAGGCTGGTGGATGATGAGTTTTTAGTTTTTAGTTTATACCTCTATTTCTATTTTCTAAAGATTTGATCCGTCGATTCCGTTCGAAGGAACGGATTTTTTATTTTATAAATTTTTCCTTTTTTTTATTATTAACGTATTAAAAAAATAACGACCATTAGATCTTGTTTGACCAGCTTTCTGACCTCTTTCTTGGATCAAATGGTATCGGGCATTGGGTGCGACCATGCGACTACGATTTTGGCATTTGGCAACTTCGTGTTGCCATTTTGCCTACGATGATTCATGAGTCGGGCTTAACACCCGTGATAAGGGCCATAATCCCAGTCTGGCTGGTCTGGGTTATGGGTCAATAACCTTTATTTATAATATTAAATTTATAATCATATGCCATTTATATCTATATCCATATTATATATAATGGATGGGTGTGGCGAGAGATCCTTAAATTTGTCTTTTTGCTTCTCTGTTGAATGTAAAGCTTTTGCTAAGCTATGTTGTTGGTTTTATAGATGAAGATGAATTCTATTGTGTCTAAGGAGTCTAGCTTCAGTCAGGACAAAACCSGTTCGAATAGCCGTCCGTTGGGAATATATTCATAATTATGTGATTTATTTCATAGGAGATATTTTTAATACAATATTGTAAGAGGCTGCTCGAAGGGTGGGAGCACGGATTTGCCCTAATAGAAGTTGAAGGAGATGTCAAGGTTGTCATCCAATATTTACTGGAGGTCTCTGCTTCACCTTTTTGGCGAATAAATACCATTCTTGCCGATTGTAAATAGATGTTATTGCCTTTCTCCAACTATTCGGTGGTTTTTTGTGCATAAGTTTTGTAAGGTGGTTCATAAACTATCAAATTTGCTTTATCTTTAGTTAAACCTTTTACTTGGGCGGTCCTCTCTTCCTTTCTTTTGGAGGCCTTGAATTTTAATGTGTCCATTAAATAATGTTTAATGATATCCTTTGCCAGTTAAGACGTAAAAAAAGAAAAAAAAAAAGAAGAAATGGAAACTTGTTTTGAATTTATTATAAGTTGAATCTAAATTCTATATATCACATATGATTATTACTTATTTGCAGATATGTATATCATGTGCTATTACACTAATATAAAACAGTGGGTTGTTTACAAAAACACATTTGTCATGGATTTACAATAACTAACCTATCCATAGTTTAGATTTTATTAAAACATCCTATAGTTTGCAAACAATTCAACCTTCTATTAAGAATTCTTAGGATTTTTGTCTAGGGGTGTAAATAGACTGAATTTGAATCGAATCAAGAAATATCCGAATTCAAATCCGATTAAAAAATTCGATATCCAACAGATATTGAAAATTAGTATTTTAATTCGAGTTCAATTAAATATCTGAATACTCGATTCGATTTGATTTTGACCAATTAATTATTTTAGAAAGTTAATAAATATTTTATTTATATAATTTAATTATTATATATAAATTTTATAGATATATATAAGAATTAAATAATCAGTCAAATTCGGATATTTATCGAATCGAATCAAATTAGGTCATATTTGAATTCGACTGATTAGATATTTGAATTATCCGAATTCAATTTGATTATGTCGAATATTGATTTTGAAATCGGATTTTTGAAAACCACTGACACCCCTATTTCTATCTAAAAATGGTAATGTAACCATACAAATAGAGAAGATAAATGTTTGAGAGCATGAATCCATGATTTTTTATTCCAAAAGTACCCATAAAAATTTGTGTCAAGCTTCTAGAAAGAAACAAGATTTGACTTTCAAATCTATCAAAAATTTTCTGCTTTAGCAAAATGAAGAAGAGAGAAAACTTGTAGTAAAAATTAAAAGATGAATATATAAAAATAGAAAATTTATAAAATCCCATAAATTAGAGAAAACTTATAATAAAAATTGAGCATATCTCTGATATCATTTTTTATCACACTGAACAAAATGTGTATGATAAATAAGAATTGTCTTTATCAACGATGAAAAGCTTTTTAAAAATACAAAACACAGACAAAGGAGATTTAATATTTGACCCATGACTTGTTGATTGAATTTTACTCTAAGATTTCACACTCCAACCGGATGAGTTAACCAAGTCAATAGTTATTTTTTATATAAAAGGAGTTTGGTAGTGATATGGTTGCAGAATTCTTTAATTGTAGGTGATGGATCAACCAAATGGTTTAATCTTGGGTTGAAAATGTTGGTTCTTATAAAGGGAGGCTGTTTCCTTTGGTTCCGGTTATATGGGTTTATGGGGGAGTATACTGGATATAGACCTAACTTTTGGTATGTTTTTTAAAAAAAGAAAAAAAAGAAAAAAAAGAAAAGAAAGACATTGACATTTATTTTACACAAAGACGCAACTCTCGTATGCAAAAGTCAAGCACTGTTTGTAGGCACTAGAACAATTAAAAAGAAAAAAAGTCAAGCACTGTTTGTCAAAAACATGTTTTTGGGTGAGGCTCCTACTGATTAGGCATTCATTCTTATAATTTGCCTTCACAACATATGCAAGAAAATAAAAATTAGGCAATATGTGAAAAGATCAATTTATTTATTAAGATTCGGTTTAAAAGGAATATAAATATAAATATATAGAATGCAAAACCTTGTATTTTGTATATATTTATATTTGTATTCATTCCAAATTAAGCCCAATTTCAAAAGAATACAAATAAAATGTACAGTGCAAATACAAGATCTATAATATGATTCATAGGTCAAATATGAAATCTTTCCTGTTTTATTTTTGTTTTCATTTAAGTCTTTTTCGTCATTCTATGTTTATAATGATAAGTATCACATTAATTTATCTCTCCTTCACCTGCCTTTGTAATCACTGGATAGTAGGGCAGTGTAGTGATAATGGTGTTGTAACATCATGATGTGATTTTACTACATTTTTATACAAAACTTCCTCCTTTGAATAATTATGATATGAGGGGTTGATGCATATAACCTAAGTGGTTGAAAGATTAAATCGTTTGATCCGGTCTATGATTTATAGGTCAAATATGAACTCTCTTTCGTGTTTTATTTTTGTTTTCATTTAAGTCTTTTTCGTCATTAACAAAAATTAGTTTTTATTCATCATACTTGTTTTATGTTTAATATAATAAATTGATTTATTTGACCTAAGCAATTGAATTGCTAACATACCAGTCTCTCACTTAGATAAAAATGGTTCCATTTTGGGTTGGCCTCAAAAATATTTGTAAGGAATGTGCTTGTTTTTACGTGAAACTAATTTCTTCCTCCTTTACCACATTTTCACACTAAAAATGGTGTGGCTTCATTTTCCAAGAATTGAGAACTTTAACCCCAGCTTTTTCACATCCCATCTCATGACATTGAGGGATGCAATTTGGGTGGTTTGGTAGGATTGAGGGTAGACCTGTTCATGGGCTGAGCCAGGCTGGGTTCGAGTCGGCTTTTTCTCTTCATTATCAAAATTTTTTCAGGTTCAAGCCCGAGCCCAGCCCAACTAACGGGCCTACAACTTGGGCCCAAGTCTGGCCCTTATAAAAAGCCCAAAACTCGGGCCGAAGCCGAAACCCGACCTAACAAAATAATTGCTTTTTCTTTGCCAGTTCCTGAGAGTCTAAGCTCGCCTCTAARAGTGAACGGTGCCWGAGTTCATCACCAATTCAATTCCTGAGAGTCTAAGAGTGAGGAGAACTGAAGGTCTGTTTGGTTTTAGGGAATAAGACACCGGAATCAGAATCAAAATGGGTCATTCCAATTCCGGATGTTTGGTCAACCGGAATGGGAATGAATAGGCGGAATGTGATTCCCGACACCCTCCCCCGGAATGTGATTCCCATTCCGCCTACAATCAAAATCAGAAGCATTGGTGGCTTCACAAAAGAAAGGTGGGTTTCACTTTCTATGCTTCGTTATTCGTTTTTTCTTACTGATGATCTACTGTGGGGGATTCGATTTATCACCTTCCCTCCCCTGCTGCTACTGTTGGTGTTTCACTTTGGGTTTTTCGGACTGCCCTGCGGTCGACTTAGTTGATCTTCTTTTTTCGGGTTTTCTTCTTGCTTTTGGTTTGGTTTGAACGATTTCAAATTGACCCATCCTCACCAGTGAGGCCTTTATTTCTGGGTTCCTTCTGTTCGATTTATTCAATGGCATTGTTTGATTACACCGGAACTCCATCTTAACTGACCTGCATTTTCTTCTCAGGTCGTAGACAAATATGTAAAAGACGCTCGACTACTAATCGCAACCCAGGAGCAGTAGGAGATCGCCTCGGCCCTCAACCTCTTCGATGCCGCTCTTGCCCTCTCTCCACGGCTTGAGTCGGCTCTGGAGCTCAAAGCTCGATCCCTCCCCTACCTCTGGCGCTTCAAGGAGGTCACCGACATGCTCCAAGAGTACATTCCGAGTTACAAGATGGTCTACGAGGAATCGTCCCTCTCCTCCAATAACTCTTCTCAGCAGCTCTAAAGGAAGCGAGTTAAGCTCCTCTCGTCTGACAACTCATCAGACTTTGCAGATCATAAACCTTCATTCAAATGCTTCACTGTGTCCGACTTGATGAAGAAAGTCATGGCCGGCCTCTAGAAAAACTGTGAAAAGGTAGGCCAGTGGAGGTAATTTCCTCGTTTATTTCTCCATCTATTACCATTTAGCTACTTCTTTTGTTTCGATTGTATCCTGCTTTTTTGCTCGGTTCATTCAAAGTTCAAACTGAGACCATTAAAATTTTCGAGTTTTTTTGCAAAATTATTGTAATTTCTACAATTTTCTGATTTTCTTGTAATTTCTGCAATTTCTACAATTTTTGCATAATTTGAGGTATTTTCATGCATTTTTTGCTTTTTTATTTTTATTAGGGGCAAAATTGGAAATCAAGGCTTATTCCGATTCCAGCCTCTTGATGAACCAAACAACATTAATCGGAATACGATTCCTATTCCTGTTTGAACCAAACAGGTGGGGGGA